CCCAGTTAAAATTACCCCATTTTAAATTTAACTTCTTAAACATATCTGTGCCATTCTTTTTTTTTTTTTAAGAGTTGCAGAGAGAGAGAGACACAGAGAGAGAGAGAGAGAGAGAGAGAGAGAGATCTTCTATCAGCTGTTCACTCTCCAAATGGCCACAATGGCCAGGGCTGAGCCAGTCTGAAGCCAGGAGCCAGGAGCTTCATCCAGGTCTCCCACATGGGTGCAGGGGCCCAAGTTTTAGGCCGTCTTCTGCTTTCCCAGGTGCATTAGCAGTGAGCTGATTGGAAGAGAAGTTGTGCTGAACATCGGGTTGTCGTCTGTACTTTCTCCTCGTAGGGATCTTGGCATCGCAGACCTTCACTGCCTTGGTGCCTCTCCAGTGTCTTCACACAGATTTTGTAGTCATTTTCAAGATTTTCTAGTTATTCTTAGTGGAAAGATTGCATGTTACAATCTACTGTTATTAGAAGTCTTTGCATTTTAAGAAATATATTTCATTTTCCTTCTGATTGTAAAAATGATATTCATTATAGTAGTTTTAGAAAATAGCAAAAAAAAAAAAATCACACACACACATAATCAACATTTTCCTGAAAGTTTTTTACTAAGGATAACACTTTTAACATATTGCTCTTTTTTTCCAGTCTTTTAAAAATTTGCATATTTTAAAATATGTATATACAATTGGCATCGTGTATCCATAGGTGCCACATCCACAGTCTCAACCAAAAAGAAAGAGAACATCTGTATTGAATGTACAGACTTCTTTCTTTGTCATTATTTCCTGCAGCAATATATAACAGCTGTCTACATAGCATTCTGTTTTATGAGGTGTCTTAAGTATTTTAGGGGTTACTTAAGTGCAGAGGAGAGGGCACAGTGGTTAGGAGCACACTGCAGTGCCTGGCTTCCAGCTCCACTTCCAGTTCCAGTTCCCTGCAAGTGCACGCCCCAGGAGGCAGCAGGTACGTGAGCATTTTGGTTTCTGCAACCCGCATGGAAGACTCAGTTGTGTTCCTGGCTCATGCCTTCAGCTGCAGTGGGCATCTGGGGAGTGAACTGGTGCATGGGAGATGTCTCTCTGACTCTCCTCATGCTTCTCTGCCTTATAAATAAAAGGAAAAAGGAGTATATGGGAAGATAGCCCTAGGTGTATGCAAATACTGCACTGTTTTGTGTAAGGGCCTTACACATTCTCAAATTTTTTTTTTAGAAAGCTTTTATTTAATGAATACAAATTTTGTAGGTACAGCTTTAGGAATATAGTGGTTCTTCCCTCCATACCTGTCTCCCCACTCCTACTCCTGTCCCACCTTCTACTCCCTCTCCCATCCCATTCTTCATTAAGATTCATTTTTAATAAACTTTATATACAGAAGACCAACTTTATACTAGGTAAAATTTTCAACAGTTTGCACCCACACAGACACACAAAGTGTAAAGTACTGTTTGAAGACAAGTTTTGCTGTTAATACTCATAGTACAACACATTAAGGACAGAGGTCCTACATGGAGAGCAGATGCACAGTGACCCCTGTTGTTGATTTAACAATCGACACTCTTATTTATGATGTCAGCGATCACCCAAGGCTCTTTTTTTTTTTTTTTTAATTTTTTTTTTTTTTTTTTTGACAGGCAGAGTGGACAGTGAGAGAGACAGAGAGAGAAAGGTCTTCCTTTTGCCGTTGGTTCACCCTCCAATGGCCGCCGCTGCAGCCGGCGCACCGCGCTGATCCGATGGCAGGAGCCAGGATCCAGGTGCTTTTCCTGGTCTCCCATGGGGTGCAGGGCCCAAGCACCTGGGCCATCCTCCACTGCACTCCCTGGCCATAGCAGAGAGCTGGCCTGGAAGAGGGGCAACGGGGACAGAATCCGGCGCCCCAACCGGGACTAGAACCCGGTGTGCCGGCGCCGCAAGGTGGAGGATTAGCCTATTGAGCCACGGCGCCGGCTCCACCCAAGGCTCTTGACATGGGCTGCCAAGGCTATGGAAACCTCTTGAGTTCCCAAACTCCAACCTTATTTAGCCAGAGTCATAAGCAAAGTGGATTCAGAGAAAACGAGCTCCTCCTTTGATGGCCTCTTCTTTCCACTGGGGTCTCACTCACAGAGATCCTTCACGCAGGTCTTGGCTTTCCGTGCCTGCAATGCTCTCATTCTCAGATTTTGATATCCTGGGGGTGGGGATAGGAGGTCCTGGAGCCAATAACCTGCAGATAACAAGGGATGACCTTGCTTATTTATATAACCAATTTGGGTCATAGTATATACTCATTGTTTTATAACCAAGTTTTTCCACTTAAAAAGTATATCATGAACATATTTCTGTGCCACTAGGTATTCTATAGAAGAGACTGTAAATGGTTGTTCAGAGGTCTAAAATGGACCACAGCTGTGTTTCTAAATCAGTGTTCCAAAGTCTAAAAAATGTCACACAAACAATAATTTCTGGCTTCTCTTGAAAGATTAGAAGATTTACGGCCGGCGCCGCGGCTCACTAGGCTAATCCTCTGCCTAGCGGCGCCGGCGCACCGGGTTCTAGTCCCGGTTGGGGCGCCGGATTCTGTCCCCGTTGCCCCTCTTCCAGGCCAGCTCTCTGCTGTGGCCCAGGAGTGCAGTGGAGGATGGCCCAGGTGCTTGGGCCCTGCACCCCATGGGAGACCAGGAAAAGCACCTGGCTCCTGGCTCCTGCCATCGGATCAGCATGGTGCGCCGGCCGCAGCGCGCCGGCCGCAGCGGCCATTGGAGGGTGAACCAACGGCAAAGGAAGACCTTTCTCTCTGTCTCTCTCTCTCACTGTCCACTCTGCCTATCAAAAAAAAAAAAAAAAGATTAGAAGATTTAAAAAAAACACTGACTTCATATTTCTATATGGAATAGTTAGTTGAAGCTAAGTGAAGATACCACCTTTAGATTGGGTAGATTTTCTCTATTTTTCCCTCATCCCATGCTGTTTATAACATTTTAATTTAAAAATATTATTTATTTTATTTACTTATTTATTTATTTGAAAGAGTGATAGAGAAAGACAGAGAGAAAGGGCATTTTCCATCTTCTGGTTCACCCCAGTGGTGCAACAGCCAGGGCTGGGCCAGGCTGAAGCCAGGAGCCAGGAGCTCCATCTGTCTCCCACCTGAGTGACAGGATTTCAAGTGCTTGCGTTGTCATCTGCTACGTCCCAGGTGCAATAGCAGGAAGCTGAATAAGAAGCAGAGCAGCTAATACAAACCACTCCAGTATGGGATGCAGCAGCATCCCAACCCCTGGCTTAACCTGCTGCACCACAACACCTGCCCCCAGCATTTTAATCTGGAACCTCACTTCTCTGCCTTGTGGGTTTGTTTTTTTTTTTTTTTGACAGGCAGAGTTAGACAGTGAGAGAGAGAGACAGAGACAGAGACAGACAGAGAGAAAGGTCTTCCTTTTTCCATTGGCCCCCAGTGGGGCCTCTACGGCCCATGTGTTGCGGCCAGCGCGCTGCGCCAATCCGAAGCCTGGAGCCAGGTGCTTCCTCCCGGTCTCCCATGCAGGTGCAGGGCCCAAGGACCTGGGCCATCCTCCACTACACTCCCGGGCCACAGCAGAGAGCTGGACTGGAAGAGGAGCAACTGGGATAGAATCCAGTGCCCCAACCGGAACTAGAACCTGGGGTGCCAGCGCCGCAGGCGGAGGATTAGCCTAGTGAGTCGCGGCGCCGGCCTGCCTTGTGTTTTAATGTCCTCAAGTGTTTCCTTTAATAGATGGGCCATAATTGACCTAATCACATTCCTGTTGTTGTCCATGTGGATTGTTTCTAATTGTTATGCCCAGTGAAATAGTAATGTTTGGAACTATCTTTTGTTGATGTTTATTACCAGCTAACCAAAGTGTAGGTGGATGAGAAAGGCTAGACTCAATAGAAACCTTTCCAAGGAAGACTTGGAGGCCTGTCATCGAGAAAAGTTTTAAATAACTCATGAACATTGTCTGAAATGTCAGTGATCAGGATTTTCTGTTTTGTTTGAACAGGTTCTTTAAAAAAATTTTTTAAGCTAATAAACCCATCTATACCAGGCAGGAGTGAGCATTTCAGAGATTAAGGATTACTGCTAAAAATTTATCTGTTCTACCCCATGTCTATGCCACAAGCAGCTATTACTTGTGGTTACAGTTTAAGAAAGTAAGCATACAATATTGAAAAGGGGTGGGGAGGCGGTGCTGTGTTGTAGCAGGTTAAGCTACCATCTGCAGTACCAGCATTCCATAGGGACACTGGTTCAAGTCCCAGCTGCTCCACTTCTAATCCAGCTCCCTGATGATATTCCCAGGAGAGCAGCAAAGGATGGCCCAAGTGCTTGGACTCCTGCCACCCAGATGAGAAACCTGGAGGAAAATCCTGGCTCCTGGCTTTGGCTTGGCCAAACCCTGGCTGTTGTGGGCAGTTGGGGAGTGAACCAGCAGATAGAATATCTCTCTCTTCTCTGTCTCTCCCTCTCTCTGTGTAACTCTGCCATTCAAATAAATAAAATAAATATTAAAAAAGATAGAAATGGAATTCTGACAACCTAAAACAACAACAGTGTATAAGCAACTGAACAGAAGATGAGAACATTGTAAGAATTTTATCTGCCAAATTACATCCTGAGAAACACATTTTGATTTTGTATTGTCCATCAAAGAGAAAGAGAAAAGAAGGAACAGATACACCATGTTAAAGGTAAGAGTAAAGAGCTATAGAAAAAGAAGGAAAGGGAGGAAAATATAAAGAAAGAGAAAAACAAGAAAGCCAGGGCGGAGGTGTCAGAGAGTTAACCAGGGCTCAAAGGCTGTGGCTCCAGACGCTGTTGGCGCTCTCTCTGAGGGAGAGGCAAAAAGAACAGGAACCCAAGGAATGGGGACAGGATGGACACAGTAGCTGAAGGAGAAAGAAGGGTTCAAATCTCATCACATTGGTGTTCGTTGTCTCATTGCACACTAATGTGAGTCTTTCCATGTCTTCTCCCTTCTCACGATTTCAGTTTAACGATGAAAAAAAATTGATGAACTTTCATCAGAATCTTCAGGATATCACAGAAGATCAACTCAGTTTGGCGTCAATCCACTACATGCGCTCTCATTACCAGGAAGCTATTGACATATATAAGCGAATACTGCTAGATAACAGGTCAGTGTGCTTGTATGCCTGTTGGGCCTCTTTCATTTTGTTGGTTTCTTCTCTCTGGTTTGAGGATCTAGTGTCCTTTGGATCTGGTACCACAATGTGTTTACATATGTTTAGTTGATAATGTGGTAAGATTAAGAACTACTTATATATTATCTATATCAGGTTTTTTCCCTACCTTTTCGTTTTTAGGGGCATTTTTAGATAATTTTCCCCTAATTGCCTTCCCATGGAATTTTTATACATACATGTAATATGTGTATATATCTGTTTATGTCCTATATCCATATCTGTGCCTTTCATGTAAAATAATTTTCTCACTTCTGCATAAGAACCAATTTTGCCCCTGTTGAAAAGGTATGATCTAAATGTATCACTCTCAATATTGTGTGGGTAACTTGCTGACAAGATTAGAAACAAACCACTCTGTTATCACTGAACGGGGGTCTTTCCACTGTTGTCTGCAAAATGCCTCATCCACCTGGCTTCTTTCCTCCGCGTTGCCTTCACAGCCTCCTTCCCGTGCTCGTTCCCGCATCAGGCCACCCCACCTGTCTTTGCCTCCTCCCCTTTAGGTACCCTCCTTTACTCCTCAGACATCAGATACACATTCCAGTGCAGAGGGCTGACTGTCTCCTGCTTCCTTTGCCTTTTCCATTTGAACTTTAGTTTGACAGCGTTTCTTTGCAGTATGCAGACCGTAACCTTGCACTCTCTGATCTGGTAGGGAGTACCTCGCACTCAACGTTTATGTGGCCCTCTGCTACTACAAGCTGGACTACTACGACGTCTCTCAGGAAGTCCTGGCGGTCTATCTGCAGCAGATTCCCGACAGCACCATCGCACTCAACCTTAAGGCCTGTAATCATTTTCGCCTTTACAACGGCAAGGCAGCTGAGGTAGTGATGTAAATATGCTTTCTGATGTACTTAATTCCAGCTTGAATCACTTTATATTTTCCAAGTCACTCATTAACTATATTACTGGTAAATCTTGATGAATATTTCTTTGTCATTGCCAGTGTGATGCTACAAGAACCTACTTGTACAAATATTTATATTTTATCAGATATTCTAGAAAGAATACCAGCTTCCAAATATATCTATATATTATTTATATATATTTATATATTATGTCTAATATATTGTACATGATTTTACCTAAATGCCTTATGTCAGTTTATATATGTTTAAAACGAAACGCTTGAGCTTCTTCCTCTAAATTAGCTGTGGCTCTGTGGTTGGATGTCTCCGACAAGCCCAGAGTAAGTGACGTCAGAAACTGGGCTGTGTGCTGCTCTCTGCTCTGTCACTTCCATGTGATGATCCACCACTGCCTGTCAGCTGTGCATCTTAGAAAACTCTTTCATCTGTCCCTCTTCCTGTGCCGCTGCTTTAGGCCGGGAGCTCCTCACCCCTACTGTGGCCCTTTACATCGTGTTCCTGCCTCTATCAGTTTTGTCCTGTCCAGTTCAGCTGATGAGTTTGTTCCCAGTACCACACTGTCTTACCATCAGAGCTCTGCAGGACAGCATTCTTACTCCGAAATGACTTCCTTCTTCCTCTGGTTTGCACACTCAACTTCTCCTTTAAGGTTACTCTAAAAGGCAAAAATGATAGACATTTTATAGATACTTACAAATTGTCTAACTTATGCACACTATGCAGGACACTTTACCCACTGTTTAATTTCCCTGACAAGCCTATGGATAAATGCTCTTCTGCTCTCATTTTATAGGAAGCTGAAAGCATAGCAGGCCACACATTATTATCTCATTTTTCTTATAACATGTTTTAATCATTATATAATAAATATGCATATACATGCAAAACACATTTTAGGGGTCTTCAAAAACTTTGTAGAAAATCCATGTTTTAAAAAACTATACATACATTTCATAATGTTTTTGCACCAAAATAAACACCTGTAATTCCATTTTACATAAACTTTTTGAATTCCCTTCACACACTTGTATAGATTTAAGTGATATATAACTAAATCTAAAATATAGAACATGTTCTGTACTGTATTTAGATATTCACGACTACTTGGAAATGTTCATGGAAAATGGGATTGAAGGGGCAGGCGTTTGGTGCAGCTGTTGAAATGCCTGTGACACCCGCATCCCATATTCAGGTGCTGGGACTTCCAGCTTCTTGCTAATGAGCACCCGGGAAGCAGCAGGAGGTGACATGTAGTGAGGTGCCTGCCACCTGCGTGGGAGACTTGGACTGACTCCTTGCTCCCAGCTTTGACCTGGTGCAGATGTTGTGGGCATTTGAAGAGTGAGCTAGCAGATGCCAGATCCTGTCTCTTGCTCTCTTTTTTTTTGCATTTCAAATAAATAATTTTTTTTAGGAAAGGAAAATGGGATTAAAAGGCAAGTTTATTTTGGTGCAAAAAGTTGTGTGGAAGGGAAATTTATTTTGGTGTAAAAACTTGTGAAATGCATATGAGAGATTTTCATAAAGTTTCTGAAAAATGTGTAGTGTGTAAAACTATGTATGAATTTCAGCATTTTTTGTGCCAAAGTAAAGTTCCTATAAAGGTACTTTTTGAAGTACCTTTGCAGACATAAATGTATATTTCTAGGTTTACCATATGATGGGCCACACTTATAAATTACTTTCATGTCTGTTCCTTTAGTTGCTATTAGTTGCCACCAAAATTTAAGTGTAAAATTTCTAGATGTGTCAAAATGAAGAAATCCTATCCTTGCCCAAAGCATAGTTCCAGATTGGCAGCATGCCTCCCTAGGTAGGAGGAGAAAAGAAGAAAGCGTAAACCACCAACTTAACTGTATCAAGCAAAACTTACTGACAAAATACGATAGCAAGGAGCTCTATTAACACATTGCACCCTGCCAGTCCATGGAGCCCCTGAGTGAAGCAGTGTTCATAGTGGGAGAGGGAGGCTGTGGGGTAGAGAACGTGTGTCTACAGCATGTGGCCAGATTGCTTTCTCACAGCTCACACACGTGTACAGATGGTCAGTTATGACAAAGCAAATGCCATGCCCACCCATTACATCTCTTGGTATGCAGTTGGGCAGTCCGGCTATATATTATGCAAAATGCATTCTTGAGAAGATGGTTATTTCAGCTGGAGTCCTCTGTGTCCACCTAACTGACTAATGTTTTGTGGTAAGATAGGTATGCAGTTTCATCTCTTCAACATTTTTCCCCTTTGGTAAGAACAAGCAAAATAAATACATTTCTTGTTTTCTTTTTCTTTTCTTTTTGAACAAAAAATGCTTAACATGTATTAATATTTATAAGAATTGTGATTCAGAGAATAAGTCATTTAGAATTGAAGTCAGTCTCAGGGGCTCACATATGGTGAAGGACAAAAAAGGAGTTGGGATCATTAAATGGTGTTCGGGGATGACCAGACCAGGATGGAACTGAAAGGGAAAATTTTCAAAAACAAATCACATGACTCAGAAGACACTGTCCTCTAGAGTCAGGATAAATTCCCAGTGTTGGCCCTGCAGGAAGTGAACTTCTGAAAGGTTCTAGTAAAAGTCAGATCTTTTTGACAGACTTCAAGTGACCACTTACGTGTAGAAACTCATATAGGCTGATGGAATTCACAGTAATCCTCGTGCTTATTTGATGCCTTCCAGAGAAGGTTCAGGGATCAGGAACAGTGAGCGCTACACCATCGTCACACAGGCCTGCTGGAAGCCGCAGCCCTGTGTCAGACATGCTCCGAGGTCGTTCTCAGAGACCCTACCTTTTCACCACGAGTCAGTCTGGGAGAGCTGGCCAGTTCTCATATTAGGTCCAGTTTGTTTAATGTTTGCATTTTGTCTGCATGTGTCCTTTCCGTAGTCTGCTACGGGTAGCTTGGTTGACCAAAATTCCAGAAACCTGGAGTCATCCAAGTCAGGGCATTAGATCACACTCACCAACCTGAAAGGTGTGCTTTCCCTTGAAGCTGTGTCGGTGCAGTTCACAAGTGGGTTTTATGATGTATTTCAGCAGCTGTGTCAATGTACCTTACCTTTATTTTGGTTAGCAATGGGATGTAATGTATTAATTTATGATAGTTTTATTAACGTATTTAAAATCAGGCATTCTTCTGTACCTTGTATATATTATATGTTTCAGTATCTCACAAACACCAATATTGTTCTACTCTTCCACAGCAAGTATGGAAAAAAAATCTGTAATGATTGACTTAATTCTTTATTTTTTTAGAAACCTTTTATTTATTAAATATAAATTTCATAGGTACAGCTTTCAGCATATAGTGGTTCTTCCCCCTTACCCACTCTCCCACCGCCACTCCTGTCCCACCTCCTACTGCCTCTGCCATCCCATTCTTCATTAAGATTCGTTTTTTTTCAAAGATTTATTTATTTTACTTGAAAGTCACAGTTATACAGAGAGAGGAGAGGCAGAGAGAAAAAGAAAGAGAGGTCCTCCATCTGCTGGTTTACTCCCCAAGTGGCCGCAACAGCTGGAGCTGAGCCGATCCAAAGCCAGGAGCCTCCTCTGGGTCCTCCATGTGGGTGCAGGGGCCCAAGGACTTGGACCATCTTCCACTGCCTTCCCAGGCTATAGCAGAGAGCTGGATCAGAAGTAGAGCAGCTGGGACTCGAACCGGTGCCCAAACAGGATGCCGGCACCGCAGGCAGCAGCTTCACTCGCTACGCCACAGTGCCGGCCCCATTAAAATTCATTTTTAGGGGCCCGCACTGTGGCGCAGTGGGTTAATGCCTTGGCCTGAAGCACTGGCATCCCATATGGGCACTGGTTCAAGACCTGGCTGCTCCACTTCCCATCCAGCTCTCTGCTGTGGCCTGTGAAAGCAGTAGAAGATGGTCCAAGTCCTTGGGCCTCTGCACCAGCGTGGGAGACCTGGAAGAAGCTCCTGGATCCTGGCTTCAGATCAGCGCGACTCCGGCCATTGAGGCCAATTGAGGAGTGAACCATCGGAAGGAAGACCTCCCTCTCTCTCTCTCTCTCTCTCTCTCTCTCTCTGCCTCTCTGCCACTTTTCTCTCCGTGTAACTCTGACTTTCAAATAAATAAATAAATCTTAAAAAAGGATTCATTTTTAATTTTCTTTATATACAGAAGATCAACTCTATACTAAGTAAAGATTGCAAGAGTATGCGCCCACACAAACACACACAGTATAAAGTACTGTTTGAAGATAAGTTTTACCATTAATTCTCATAGTACAACTCATTAAGGACAGAGCTCCTACATGGGGAGCATGTGCACAGTGACTCCTGTTGTTGATTTAACAGTTGACACTCTTAATTATGACGTCAGCGGTCACCTGAGGCTCTTGTCATGAGCTGCCAAGGCTATGGAAGCCTTTTGAGTCCACAAACTCTGTCAGTATTTAGACAGGGCCATAAGCAAAGTAGAAGTTCTCTCCTTCCTTCAGAGAAAGGTACTTCTTTTAAGTGCTGAGCTGTCACAGATCAGGGAGAACATATGATATTTGTCCCTTTGGGATTGGCTTATTTCACTCAATATGATGTTTTCCAGATTCCTCCATTTTGTTGCAAATGATTGGATTTAATTTATTTTTACCACTGTGTAATATTCCATAGAGCACATATCCCATAATTTCTTTATCCAGTTTTCCGTTGATAGGCATTTAGATCGATTACATATCTTAGCTATTGTGAATTGAGCTACAATAAACATGGAGGTGCAGATAGCTCTTTTATTTGCCGATTTCATTTGCCTTGGGTAAATTCCGAGGAGTGGTATGGCTGGGTTCTATGGTAGGACTATATTCAGATTTCTCAGGTATCTCCAAACTGTCTTCCTTAATGGCTTTACCAGTTTGCATTCCCACCAACAGTGGATTAGGGTACTGTTTTCCCCACATCCTCGCCAGCATCTGTTGTTGGTAGATTTCTGAATGTGAGCCATT